GGTACTAACTTGCATTTAGTGGTGCCAATTTAATTTTCCTTTATTATTGTTTGCAGACACTAATTATTATTTATTTTTGCAGGTGACAGTGTTAGATCCTATACACATTTGTTCATCAAGTGCTAGGAGGAAGACTACGACACCAACTAGTGCCTGGGTTGCTGCAAAGGCAATACATCACCTCAGGAAGACACCAACTATGGGATGTAAGGATCTGAAAAAAACTTTACAAGATGAGCAGAAGTGTGAAATTCATTATGACACTGTTTGGAAGGGTAGGCAAATTGCCTTGAGAGAATTGTATGGTAAATGGGAAGAGAGCTTTCAGATGCTATTCAATTGGAGGGCAGAGGTCATGAAGAGGTCTCCAGGTAGTGTTATTGAGATTGGTGTTAAGGAGGTAGATGGCATATTCTATTTCCACAGATTTTTCTGTGCACTGAAACCTTGCATAGATGGTTTCTTGGAAGGATGCAGGCCATATCTTAGCGTTGACTCTACTGCGCTTAATGGTAGGTGGAATGGTCATTTAGCTGCAGCTTGTGGTATAGATGGTCACAACTGGATGTACCCAGTTGCTTTTGGCTTCATTGATGGTGAAACAACAGACAACTGGACCTGGTTTATGACTCAGTTGCATAAGGCCATAGGAGACCTTCCTGTTTTAGCTATCTCGTCAGATGCATGCAAAGGTCTAGAAAATGCAGTTAAGAATGTGTTTCCAAGAGCTAAACATAGAGAGTGCTTTAGACATCTAATGAACAACTTTATTAAAAAGTTTGGGGGTGACGTATTCTCTAAGATGTATCCTGCAGCCAGATCTTATAGAGAAGAAGTTCACCAGTACTTTTTCAAGTCAGTTGTTGAAGCTAGTCCTGCTGTTTTGGTTTGGTTGCAGGCTAACCATTATAAGCTGTGGATGAGATCTGCCTTCAACCCTGCTATTAAATGTGATTATATCACTAATAACCTTGCTGAGTCGTTTAACAATTGGATCAAGGACTGGAAGGACCTTCCTGTTGTGGAGCTCGCAGACAAAATCAGAGAGAAGACAATGGTTTTGTGGGCAAAAAGGAGGAAAATTTCAGAAAGGCTTAGTGGTAAGATCCTCCCAGCAGTCATATATCAGTTGAATGCAAGAACAAGAGGACTTGGGCACTTGACTGTCGTGGATGGCGGATATTCTGCAGCAGAAATTTGGGACACCTCAAACACTCACAGTAGACATGTTGTTAAGTCATATCTGCATGAGTGCACCTGTCTTGAGTGGCAGCATACTGGTAAGCCTTGCCAGCATGCTCTGGCTTTGATGACAAGTGTGCAATCTGCTAATGTGCATATGGAGGATTTTGTGCATGAGTATTACTCTGTAGACAGGTTCAAGGCAGCCTACAAGAGACTCATAGAGCCACTGCCTGATAGGTCACAGTGGCCAAATGTTGAATTGCCTTTTGGGCTTAAGACACCCCTTGACAAGAAGGAAGCTGGTAGATATAGAAAAGTCAGGATAAAAAGCTGTCTTGAAGGTGGAAATAGCAGAGGGAAAAGGGCAGCCAAGGAAGCAGCAATAGAGGCAGATAAACTAGCTGCAAATGAGGTGCAAAAGGGCAACAAAAGGATGATTAGAGGCAAAAGGAAGTGCAAGAGATGTGGAGAATTAGGCCATGGTGAAACAAGCTACAAATGCCATCTTAATGGGACTAAGAAAAGGCAAGAACTCCTATATTCACTTGCTGCCTTGATTTGTTGAGCTCATTAACTTCAATATTTCACTTGAATATTGAACTTGCAGGCAAAGGAAGCCAAGGCCAAATAAAACAAAATATGGTGAAAATGCAAAGATGCCAACAAAGACAGCAAAGAAGGTGGTTCACAGTGCTGCTGAACCAACAATGGAAGAAATGCCACCAGCTGCCCCAAATGACCAAGAAATGGCACCACCTGGCCCAAATGACCAAGAAATGGCAACAACAGCCACAGATGCAATTTGCAATCCCACAAGGCTCACAGCAGACCAGATCATACAGACTAGCCCCATTAGGGTGACAAGAGGGTAAGCAACACATTAGTTCTCCTTTTTTTTACAGATATACACAACTATAATCAATATTGGTGCTTCTATTGCAGCCGACTCCAAACTTTGCTGGGAGAAGGTGTGGATTCAAGCATTGCTGCCTCACCAGACAAGACAATCCAGAAGAGGAGCCCGGCGAAGAAATTGAAGCCCAGGAAACTGAAAATCAAATGATGCTTTGTGTTGTTGTATTAGACCTATGTAGACCTATGTTATTGTATTAGAACTTAAATGCTATGCTTCTGTGATCATGTAAACTGGCTATTTGAACCTATCTACATTGCCAATATTCAAGCTATGCTTCTGTGATCATGACACCCCTTGCTCTGTCAGAATTCTATGCAAATTCTGTGATCATGTACACCATATGACTTTAGTCAGTATGATGATGTTCTGACAGATCCAATGCTTTTCGTTCCAGCTCTTGTTCAGGCATGGTTGATAAGTAACCAGTCAAGCTATGCTTCCAACTGATGAATTCCATACTTGATAAGTAACCAGTCATACTTGATAAGTAACCAGTCATGGTTGACTGCCTTTGTGTCACTGGATTGTAAAACAGTTCCAAATTATCACATCAGGCAAAAAGTAATGCATTGTTCCAAATTAACACAGGAGCAAATTGTAATTGCCCACTGTCCAAAAGGCATGTACATATCTTGAAATGGGCAGGCATTCATCAGCCAACAGCTACTGCTCTTACAGAATAGAAAATCAACTCTGGAAGGCTATTTCCAAGATGCATTTATTTATGCTAAATGCCAAAGCTTCAGGCATTACACGACGAGGATGTTGTATGAGCTTATGTGAAATCATTACATTTCGGTCATCTGCAAGATGACATACTCTGAAATGAAATCGACTAACAGAATACTCAGGCTCTAAACCATCAGATGAGATGATTGGAAAACAACTTCATTCCATAGTGCTTACATGTCATTGCAACACATCTACTGGTCATTTACTAACCAGGAGTCTTACAGCACAACATTACAACACACTTGCTTCACTTGGTAATGAGCACTACCACACCTAGAAGAACTATGACAACAATTACTAAACACAGCACCACCAACAATTGGACCAGACCAATAAGCTTGTCCATCTTGAGGTCCATCCTCCCTTCATGCTTGTCCATCTTGAGATCCATCCTCTCTTCTTCATATAGCCTGCTTTTAAGCTTCATTTCGACCAAGCCTTTAGATTCACCATTACCTTGGTATGGCAATGCTTTAGTTTCACCATGACCTTCATATGGCACTGCAGCTTGCAAGTCTTCTTTAAGCTTCTTTGCGACTACTTTCTTGTAATCTGCCAACCAAGCAAAGAATGGACATTTCTTCTCCGCCTGTGGATGATAACACATAACACAACTTATTTATCCAAACCTTGACAAAGTAACTAGTTCATTCAGTTGGATACGACAAATATAGCAATATATACTCACATATTCATTGTAGTTTACGCATTTGAAGAAGACTTCGCCTTTGTTCTGCCAGGATTTGCATTCCACTACTTTATCACCGCATTTTGGGCATGGAATCGGGGGACCCCACTAGGACCAACTGGATACTGGGAAAGGGCAACTGTTGGGATGAACGACGAACCAGAAGATGGCTCACCCATAGCAGGCTGGTGTCGGGGACAGCGTCGGGGCGTCGCTCCGTGGCGGGCTTTTCATGGCGTGGATGGAAGCGGCCACATGGCCCGGCTTCGGAGGAGATCTCGGCCTAAAGCGTCGACGCCGCAAGGGCGGGCTCAGAAGCGTCGATGGCCCATGGCGTCTTGGCTTGGCCGCAGGGCGGCGTGGGGTGTCGGGGAGGCCGCGCCGAAGGCGCCGGCGGTGGCAGTCAACGACTCCGTCTCGCGTCTCTCTCTCGACCGTGAGTCCTGAGGAAAAGGTTCTGAGGAGCGGAGATGAGGAGTGGAAATCTCGGTTCTGAAGGGGATGGGTGAGGGGTAAAAGGGGAAAGGAAATAACGAAAAAAAAAATCAAAATCAAAATACGGTACATATACGGGTCCAGGGCATTCTGGCGGTGCGTCGCGTTTGAAAATGGCAGACGGGCGAATCCCATTTGAGGGATGGCAAAAGAGCGAAGCCCACGTTTGATAATGGCGAAGTAGCAATTTTCTCTCTCACAAGTCAATGCCTGGACCTCTCAGAACAGATTTTTTGTAGCTGTTCTGATTACTGTTCTGAAAATAGTTCCAAGGAGGCAAGGACCACAAGCAAACGGAGATAAGACCTGTGATCTGTACTTGAGTACTTTCCATGGCATCCAATGCATCTCCCAACAACTGATGTTGGCATCAACATTATAACTCAACCACAATGTGGTAACCCAAACAACGAACAAGCATAGCTGCCATCCACATTAAAGTACTTCAAGATTCAATGAAGAAAGTACACATCAAAATAACATTTTCAACTCAAATAAAAGCGAAACTTTGACCAGTGCAGCAGAAGCCAAATACAGGTAGAACTTAGTCCGATGTCACGATGCACATTAAAAATCTACCAAGTTACATAGTAATACACAGATGTCTGTTCGTAGACACAGTACAGCCCAGATCATTTCCTGGGACATTGAGGCTGCTCTAACAAGTAACAATGCAACAAGTGAATGCATGATCAAGTGGCTACAAAAACACAAACAACAGAAAGTATTGCCAAGTCTACCACCAGACAGCTTCCTGTGAATTAGACTGACTGATCCCATCAGCGCAAGGTAGCATATGACAACTATATTAGACTATTAGTTATGGATCCTCTACACAATTACAACGAGCTGCAGTCTTGCTTGCAACATGCATCCTTGTTGATGCAAGGGCCAAAGAGAGCTAAGACTAGTACTAGGACTTAAGTTTGCTTCTGATCTGCCCTTGCCAGGTAAGAACTTTCTTTCATATTTCCCAGATTGAATTCACTGGGGAGGGAACCAACCACTACCGTAGAACTTATCTGATGACCTTGGCATAACATGATTGACTTGCGCGTGGTTTCTGTTACCATCATAAGCCGAAGCAGACCAGTTGGCTGCAGTGTTTTTATTCATGTTCTGTGGTGGAAGGTAGTAATCTCTATTACCATCGTAAGCTGAAGATCGATATGCTCGAGCGTCATCAAGAACAGGAATATCACCCAGGAGAGTCCTGAACGCAAACACAAGGCATGGGTCTGACCAGACATGTTGAAATAGCGACGACAGGGCAGATCCAGGCAAACCATCAGATGTTTCACCTTGTCCTGCCTGTTGTCGCAGAACAGGAGCCTCAGCTGGTGCATTCTGGCATCCAGCATCTCCTGAAGAGTGTGGGAAGGATGCTCCCTGTATTTGATTGGGAACTGAAGGAAGGTTTTCTGCTGAACTCCTGGTAGATTCTCCATCTTTCCTCTCAGGAAGTACAGAAGAATTCGTCTTTCGCCTAGGTTTTTGGATTGGATTTGGTTGTGGCTCATTAGTTATGTCTGTCTGTGTGCCGCTATGTCCATCTTTGGGTACGTTATTTGCTTCCTGGCTAATCTTCAGTGCAGCTAAACGAGGTGATGATCTCAGAGGTACAGCAATCCCTTTGACAGGTTTAGTTTTGTACTTCTTTTCCTTTGGTTTCTCCTTTACATTTGCTCCTTTCCTAGTGACAAAATTAGCTTCCCCTGGAGTCTCTTCTACGGAGCCTGATTGGATGTTCTTACCTTCTGAAGCTTCAACCTGATCAGCTTCCCTTTGGATTGAGTTTATATCATCAGGCTTAGACAATGTAATATTTTCAGCATTCTCTCCACTTTCTGGATTTAGCACAGCATCTCCCAGTGCATTGGTACCTTTCGGTAGATCATATCGATTAGACTCATCAGCAGTATCCAGTTGTGTATGATCCGATAGTTTTCCTGTCTGAATTTTACAAAACAAATCAATAGTTGGGGTAGTAACAGTCAATTATGAAAGAGCAATAGCAACAAGAAAATAATTCCTTCCAATTCACTCAGTTAGAGTACAAAAATGCATCATAATTCAGATGACAGCCTACATCAATACAAGATGCATCTTACATCAACCATAACGGAGGTGCATTGCAAGTACACATTGGACAGACTCAGAACCAGTGTCTATCAAGAGCAATGCTTGTGTTCAGGTGCATCTAGGATTTTTTTCCCCTAAAGGACGGCAAGGGATGATTTGCCAGTGCACATAGGAAATATGAAATGAAGCTTTTTACAGTCCTTGGGGGAAGGACCAAAATTACAACTAAGGATTCAGTACCTCCCAAGTTATAATTTGTGGAACCTCTTCATACTTCTCGAAGGATGGTAAAATAGTTCATATGAAATTCATACACCTGTGCCTTAAAAAGAATCAAAATACCTTAAGAATGAACTCCTTGTTGATTTGCATCTAATTGTCAATCCAATATTCTAGCTAAGACAGGGTATCAAGGGAAGTTCAGATGTGGGTCAAAACTTGAAGATGCAACTTACATGATGAGATTGGTCCCCTTCAGTATGCAGGTCCCCAATTTTTCTCTTGTTTGGCAATCTAACACATTGACTGATGTCTCCAGATTCAAGATAACGGTGCACATCCTTGAGAGAGCGAAATTCATATCCATTGATTGGATCAATATAGAACTGCGGATCAAAATGAACTGACTGGTTACAGTTGCAGAACAAATGGCTTATAGAAAGTCAGGCATCACAATGAAGCCTTAAGTAATACGAGATAACATGTTAAAAAAAGGTCAAAAGAAACTTATCAGTTTGAGATATTTTCACAATCGAATCAGGGGATCGACGATATACCATGTCACCCTTGACTCTAGATCCATATCGGTTCTTTCTAGGTCTGTATTCTTTCAACCAACCATCAGGCTCCTCTCCAGCAGGCTCAGTCTTGCCATCAACCTAAGCAGGTAGTAGCAAGTGGAAATGTAAGCAAAACTGTCAAATAGGACGGCCACATAAAAGAAAAAGAAAAGGAGAAAGGGAAGGACCTTCAAATCTACATACCAATGCAACAGATTTTGCAGGAACAATCTTGCTTTGAGTTATATAATCATCAGAGCCCTCACAAGAATCCATAGTTACGCCCTGTAGACAAACAGAAGATCATGTTTAGGTCAGCGAGACAATGTTAAGTCACACAAGGAAGCATAGGCATGTTTGGATACAAAAGTATTTTTGGAGTTTTAGGAAAATACCAAGGTTTTGTAGCGCCATGAAGTGTTTGGACACAACATTATAGTTTTTAAAAAACCAAAGTATTGCTAAAACTGAATTCTGTTTGGAGTTTTAAAAACTCCACTCTAGACCTCTTTTTTCTAAACCATGGTTTTGCAGGTCTATGGGTTCTAAAACTGCAGTTTCTTAGTACCACAGTTTCTTAATTAAGTATGAATCCAAACTGTTGGAGTATATTAGGCCCATGAGGCCCATGTATGACCCATATACATTGCTACCCCTCTAGGGTTGGCTGGTAGATGAATACACAACTTTAGCATGGTATCAAGCTAGGTTTTCTTCTTCTTCTTCTTCTTTCCCACAGCCAATGCCATGCCGGAGACGACCACTTGCCGCCGCCATGGCTGGCCGCCCCCCCCTCCTCCCCCACCTACTTCCAGGCCTTCCCTCCTCCCTCCTCTCCCTCTGGGCTCCTCCTGGGCCCAGCCTTGCCGGGCCAGCCGCCACGCCGCCTTGCTCAAATCTCTGTTGTCATGGGCGCAGGTGGTGGCTCATGCTGCTTCTTCTGGGCCTAGCAGCTGGTGGTCTGGCCATTGCCCGGCGGGCGTGGGTGGCCCAGCCGCCGCCGCCACCGCCTCCTTGCCTGCCATGGCGGATGGCTCGCCGCCATTGCTGCTTCTTTGCTGGCGCCATTGCGCTGCTGGCAAGGGCCCGGTTCATGCCCATGGCCTTGGCGCTTGGCAGCAGTTACGCTGACGCTGCCGCGGCCGAAGCGCAAGAGCGTTAGGCCCATGTCAGCAGGTGCCCAGCTGCGGCAGCGGCAGCGAGAACTCCGAGCCTTTCTTCTTCCCCGCCTCCTCCTCTGCCGTCCCCTCCCTTTCCAGACGGCCGGGCCAACTCCGCTCGCCGCCCCGCCCTCGTGGCTGCTCGGCCTTCTGACGCGACAGCCAGAGCCAGCGCGGCGGCCGCCCTTCGTTTTGGGCGCCGCGGCGTGTGCAGCTGCTGCCACAGCCCGCCAGATCGGCGAGGCGAGCAGCCTCGTCCTCCCTACCTCCTACGAAACCGCGACCACCTCCTCAAGCTCGACGGGTCACCGCGCGTCTCACACCGCGGTCATCTGGCACGACCCGGCCGACCCACACGTGGCTCAGCTCCACTACCAGGCCGGGGGTGTCCAGAACATCCGACTCCTCGTCCCGGTCGTCCTCGAGCCTGAGTCGCCCTCTTCACGCCTCACCGAGGGACTGGTCCTCCTCACCCTTCGCCACGCTCGCCCTCGGCGACCACGTCCTAGTCGGCGCCTCGGTCGCGCCCAGAACCCATCATGGCTGCGCCTTTGACGCGTGTCGTCTCTCTGGATCGTCGGGGCGATCTCCTTGACCCTCCACGACCTCGTCTTGCCTTTCTGCGGCCTTTCGCCGGGCTTAGCTTGCGCTCGAGGCGGTTTATGGGCAATGCAGAAGCCGGCCCTGTGTCTCGATCGCGAAGCTTCGCGCCTTCGCCCGTCGGTGTGACCTCTCCGTTAGCGAAGTTCTGCCGGCGCGCATGAAGAGCATGGCGGACTCCTCGGCGACCTTGGCTGCCCGTGGAGGACCGCGTTCGTCCTCAACGTCCTCTGCGGGCTCGATGACCGCTGACACGCCCACCTCCGGACGTGGATCACCCGGCAGAGGCCCTTTCCTCCTTCCTGCAGGTCCGTGACGACCTTGTCATGGAGGAGCTCACTCAGGGCGTCGAGCCAGGGTCCACCTCCGCGCCAGGGTCCTCGTCTTCCTCGACTGCCCTGGTCGCTACTCCTCCGGCGCGTTCGTCGTCGCTTCTTGGTTCTCCTCCCCCCGGGCCGAGCGGGGGTGGGGGGGGCCGTGGCGGCCGCCGTCGCCGCGGAGGAGGACGTGGGGGCCGCGGGGGCCACCACACACAGGTCCCTCCTGGGAGCCACCAGTCGCCCGCGACTCCACAGGGTGTCACCTGGCCCTCTTTCCATAACCCGTGGTCGGGGCGCATCTCCATGTGGCCCTTCCCGGCTCCAGGTGGAGAGCCTCGCCCACCAGCGGCCTTGCTCACTGGAGCTCCTCCGGGGTTTCACTCCCCGTCTGCGTGGGCTCCACCTCCCGGTGCATCTTCGTGGGTGACACCTCCCGACACCTCGCCCGGGCCTGTCGGTTGGAACCCAGCGGTCTTGGCCAGATCCTTCAGCACCATGGCCCTGACACCGCCTGCCGGTCCCAACTGGATCGCCGACTCGGGTGCCACTTACCACACTACTCCAGACCCTGGTATACTCTCCTCTATTTACCCTCCTTCTTCCTCTTATCCTTCGTCCATCATGGTCGCGAATGGTTCGTGTCTTCCAGTTACGTCCGTGGGTGCTGCCAGCACTCATGGTTCCTTTCGTCTTCCTGACATTCTTGTTGCACCCTCTATGGTTCACAACCTTCTTTCTATTCGTCGTTTTACAACTGACAATTCCTGTTCCGTTGAATTTGACTCTTCTGGTCTTACTGTCAAGGATTTGGCTTCCCGACGTCCTCTTCTCCGATGTGACAGCACGGGACCCCTTTACACCCTTCGGTTTCCGACGTCTGCTTCCTCGTCGTCGCCGTCTACTTTGTCAGCTGCCTTCGCCGCCACTCCTTCCTCCACCACTTGGCACCGTCGCCTCGGCCATCCTGGACGTGATGCTCTGACGCAGCTTAGTCGCAGTTCCGACATTGGTTGTACTCGGGCTCACGATGAGCACTTGTGTCATGCGTGCCAGCTGGGCCGTCATGTTCGTCTCCCTTTTTGTTCTTCTTCTTCAAATACTACGCATGTGTTTGATCTTGTACACTGCGACCTATGGACATCTCCTGTCATCAGCATTTCTGGGTATAAATACTATCTTGTGGTGGTTGACGATTTTTCGCATTATTCGTGGACTTTCCCTTTGCGTGCAAAGTCGGATACCTTCACCACTCTTCTCCACTTTTTCGCCTGGGTGTCTACTCAGTTCGGCCTTACCATCAAGGCCGTCCAGTGTGACAATGGCCGTGAGTTCGATAACGGTACCTCCCGTGCCTTCTTCCTCTCTCAAGGTGTCCAGCTGCGCATGTCTTGCCCGTATACCTCCTCCCGAGCAGCAAGGCCGAGCGCATGATTCGCACTTCACGAACGACACCATGCGCACCCTTCGCTCGCTCCAGCGCCGCTTCTGCTTTCGCTTCTAGGCGAGAGTCTGCACACCTCCACCTATCTCCTTAACCGCCTACCTTCCGCCGCACTGCCTCGGCTCCCACACCACACCACGCTCTCTTGGTACCCTCTCCCAGATGACCACCTTCGTGTCTTGGTGTGTGCATGTTACCCTAACACCACCGCCACCGCTCCCCACAAGCCGGCTCCCGTTCCACTCATGTGTCTTCCTTGGGTACTCCCGGATCACAAGAAGTACCGGTGCTTTGACCTCACCTCCGTCGGGTCCTCATCTCTCGCCATGTGGTGTTTGATGAGTCTGTCTTCCCCTTCTCCACCACCACCACACCACCTCCCACCCCGATCCCGACACCTTCTCTATGTTTCCCAATCGACACGGTGGTCCAAAATTTTCCCCATTGTCTCCTGCGGTAATGCTTCCTCAGGTGCCCCTCGCCGAGCCCGTGCCCCCGCTGCGCCATTCACCGGTGGCGCCCCAGCCTGCGCCTACAGGTCGAGGCGTCACCCTCCGGAGTTGCACTACCCCTCCGTCCGCCCAATGGTCCGGGACACCACTGTCGCACCTCCTGCTGCGTTTACGCCCGGCCGGTGCATCGCCTACTGTTTCCCAGCAGTTGGTGCGGCACCTGAATACTCTCCGGTACCACCGGGGCCCCTCTCCGCCGGCGACCCCTACACCGCCCCCGCCACCTCAAGCTGCCCGTGTCGTGTCGCCGGTGTACCACCCGCCACTCCTTCACCGACACCCACGGCATGTTCACCCTATGGTGACGCGACACGCGACTGGTACCCTGCGGCCCCGGGCTCTCGCGACGATGCCCGATGACCCGCAGATCTCTCCTGTACCCTCTTCCGTCCGCGACGCCTTGTCGGACCCTCATTGGCGCCGCGCGATGGAAGAGGAGTACGCGGCTCTCCTCGTCAACCAGACATGGGATCTGGTGCCCCGTCCACCCGGCTCCAACGTCGTCACTGGCAAGTGGATCTGGACACACAAGCGGCGGGCTGATGGTACCCTTGAGAGGTACAAGGCTCGCTGGGTTCTCCGGGGTTTCACCCAGCGCCCTGGAGTTGATTATGATGAGACTTTCAGTCCCGTGGTGAAGCCGGCCACCGTACGCACAGTGCTCTCCCTGGCTCTCAGTCGATCTTGGCCCGTGCATCAGCTGGACGTCAAGAATGCTTTTCTCCACGGGACCCTAACCGAGACAGTATACTGCAGCCAGCCAGCGGGGTTTGTTGACTCTTCTCGTCCGGACATGGTCTGCCGGCTCAACAAGTCTCTCTACGGCCTCAAGCAGGCCCCCCGGGCGTGGTACTCTCGGTTTCTTGCTTCTTTCACGGTGACACTTGGGGTTTGGAGAGGCCAAGTCGAATCGTCCTGTTTATCTATCATCATGGGCCGAGATCGCCTATCTGCTGCTCTCGTTGATGATATTGTTCTCCAGACCTCGATCACGTCCTTACTCGGCCGTGTCATCGCCTCTCTTGAAGCAGAGTTTGCTATGAAGGATCTTGGGGTGCTCCACCACTTCCTCGGGGTCATTTGTTGAGCCTCGCCCCACCGGCCTTCTCCTTCACCAAATGTGGCACACTCTTGATATTACGGGCGTCTTTGGTATGACTAACGCAAGCCCTGCTTACTCCGGTTGACACACAGGGCAAGTCGTCCGAGGTCGTGGGAACCACCGTGGCGAGACCCCACCCCGCAGCTTACGGAGTCTTGCAGTGTGCCCTTGAAGACCTCACCTTCACCAAAGCAGACATCATCACCTATGCAAAGGTGCAAGAGATATGCCTTCACATGCATGATCCCCGAGAGCCTCACCTCACTGCGCTCAAGCGCCTCCTCCGCTACCTCCGCGGCACTATTGACTACGGCTTACTCCTTGAGTCTTCTTCCCACCGAGGCTCGTTGTCTCTGCATCGACGCCGATGGGCCGGTGTCCGGACACTCGGCGCTCTACCTCCGGCTTCTGTTGTCTTTTCTGGCGGCAACATGGTGTCTTGGTCGTCCAAGCGCCCGGTGGTGGTCTCCCGATCCAAAGATCTTGAGGCGGAGTACCGTGCTTGTCGCTTAACGGCGTGGCCGAGGCCTCCAGCCGACAGCTCCTTGCCGAGCTCCACAGGCCTCTCTCCGAGAACACTGTGGTTTATCTGCGACAACGTCGGTCAATGGTGTACCTCTCCACCAACCCGTGCAAAGGCACCAACGGACCAAGCATGTGGAGATCGACCTACACTTTGTCCGTGATCGAGTTGCCATCGGCGATGTTCGGTCTTCCACGTCCCGACCACCTCCCAGCTTGCCGACATCTTCACCAAGGGCCTCCCATCGTCATCGACCTTCAACCTTGAATTTTTCGCTCCGGCCTCAACATCATTGGTGGCTAGTTAAATGCGTGAGGGGCTTGTGTGTGTGCTTTTTCATGTCGATCAGAACTCCATTGCTTGCCAG